GCACACCCAGTAGCAGCACACTGGAACTGGCACATTTTAAATGGAAGGTAGCCATCATTATTGTTGTTGATCGCCAAATTTGCAGGTCCATAATGATGTTCTCGTTATGCAGCCGGCCGCACTGCATTAATTAGGCTGATGTCAAGTTAGGTGGGACCAAGCTAAATGCTTTCAGTCAATAATAACAAGCGAGGTTAATAGATTTTTATTCTCACAAAATGATCAACTCAATTATTGTGAATAAATGAAAAAACACTCATATTGACCACAGTTTGTTGTTCTATTACTTTTAAGATCACATGAACCCAAAATCTCTAGCAATTGGGATTAATTATAAAAAGCCATTTTAATTTTAGTTTAGTCTCCAAAAATCTTCAATCACATGTTTATTCTGTCTTTATCCTTACCAACATGGAACAGCATCTTGAGTTCAAAGAGCAACAACTCTCTTACCTTGTTAGTATTGCAGAAAAGGTGAAAAAAAGTCACAGAAACAAATTTTCAATACATTTGTCAGTGTTGTACACAGGAAGGCTAAACGTATAACTCCGGATACATCAATTTGACTACACTCAGTTTCAGCTGTTTCTATCTGGCCATTGATTTAGGGTCCCTAGGGCTGCTGGAATATACATGAGAAGTATTTTATTCCCTTTGCCATACATTAAACACAGAATCGCTGCACTTGTTATTGAATTAGATGTGCGCTCTTTAATATTTATATCATTCATTGGCTGCTGCCTGCCCGTTTGCTCAATTATGTATTATGTTCTTCGCTTTGTATGTTTTTAATGATGTTTATGTGTAATATATGTACATTTGCTGTACTTGGGAAATGTGAAAGACACATTTCCACTCAGATGGACAATGAAGTGAATCTGTCTTATCTTGTTCTAGCCCCTGCCATCCTGCAATCTAACTGACAACTAAATCTGCTCCGTTGGCTGGCTGCAATTGTCTATTGTTAATTGTAGCTTCACTAATCTTTTTTGAAACAATAATGACCATTGTTTGTATGCAAATGTTCAGTAATTCCAACCAAACCCAGTGGGAACAATGCTTCATATAGACAGTGCTGACCTATTTGGTTATTTCCTTTGCTTGGACAAAGAGCCGAGCCTCCTCCCAGCACACATTTTGCTCGTTAACGTCGGGATATAATTGACTTGCAATGGGAATGGCTCATTGCCTACATTGACATTATGCAAACTCTATTAGCTGTGTAATGTTAGTCCCAGCAGTGAGTCTACGATTCTTCAAAGAGAGCATGATGGCTAATTGGACTGCTAGCGGTTAGCAAATCTTCAGCTTCATTTGCACCAATAGGCTCATTACACCAGGAGAACATCAATGACCTCGAGGATACTGAAAAAACAATCCCATACACATATTGGGGGTATTTTTCCCCTATTTATAGCCTAATAATCCATCATTTTGCACTCGGTGGGAGAGAGATTTCCCTAAAGTGTCAAACCAGTCAACGGTTTGCTCTCAAACGGATGAAGAAGATGAGATACTTCTAATGTTGGGTACAGATGCTTTAGCCTTTTGGCTTTGATCAGTGTACTAATACAAGCGTCAAATATTTCCTAAGGATAACTACAAATGCATTTTTCATCATTCTTGCCTCAATTAAATCATAAAGCAGCACGTGCAAATATTTGAATAACATTTGTAATGTTTTATCCTGAAAAATGATACCATCCAAAAATATTACCTATAGGTAGTAGATTTGTAAATGCTGTAAATAATAATGAATAAAGCAAATATATAATGGGAGTTTATTGACAAGATTTGAGAGAGCACAAGACAACATCTGAGCCCTACGTTTCAGACTCAAACCGTTTCTCGTTACAAAATGGTAGATTTATCTGCATGCTAATATTTGACCAAATGAGAATCTTTTTGGTTTTGATAGGAAATGTAACTTTGTTATTATGCAGTTCTGAAACTTTAGACATAAAAGCAGCGTTTATTAGTGAGTCATTTTCTAAAGAAATGTGACCTCCGGTGCTTGGCACACTGCGTCGCAACATGAAGTAATATGTGCAAAAGCTGTTTTTCTGCCTGAGGTCTGGTTTTATTCATGGTTTTCAGATATCTGCTTGTAAAGCTTCCGCCACAACCCAAATAAAGGGAGATACATACAAGTTGTAGTGCTCAGGGCATTACAATTAAAGTGACTTTTTAACATTCAGCTGTCAGAAGTCAGCTGTAAACAGTTTTTAGTTCTATATATAATGAGCAAAGTAAAAATGTTACGTTATGCACAATGAATCAAATGTGTATTGTCTGAGAGAAACTTGGACATTGTTTATGAATGAATGAAAAGTCAATTTTCGCGATGATGACACATATTTGTTTTAAGTGTGAGATCGTACCTACGTTTCAGTGGCAGAAAACTTCCACACATGAAACTGTTATCAAGTAAACTAGAGGTAAAAGAGGTAAACAAATATTTTACTTTGGCGTGTGAACTAACCGTTTAAGAGAAGTGTGAATATAGATGAATAGAGTTTAAAATTGAGTGAGAATGACAGTCTGCTCGCTCATCTCTATATTCAGAGCACCTGAGAACTCCACAGAGAAACATGGGGTCCATGCAAAGTGTCACATGCAGCAGATCTATGCCTCTTCAAAATCAAGCGTGTAACACTGCTGTCCACTATTCATTGTTTATCACTGTGCAATAAAGCTGAGAGACAAAAGAAGAGTTTGTGCAGAGGGGGGATTTATTCATCTTCTTGAAAAAAGTAGTGACATGTGCTATTATAAAATGATTCATAGCACAGCTTTTAAACAAAGTAGGTGCCCTCCAAAATGTTCTGTTGTAATTTTACTCTATTGTTTTCATTTTTTCTTCTTTTTTATCAATCCATTATATATGACAAAAGTTTCTTTAAAAAAAATCAGCAACCCAAGATTATTTTGATAAGGAAGGCTTCAGCCGCAGCACCAATGCCAGCAGGTGGTCATGGGACAATGAAAACACAAACTAATGAAAAACAACACTACTGAATGCAAAAAAGGATAAGCAAGTGTTAATAAAACATTTTTTGGGAAAGTACAATATTATATTATAATGCTGAATATTATTGTATTGCATCTTAAGGTATCCATGAGAAACATTTCTATATGCAGGGGTGCACATAACTTTTTTGCCCTGGTTCTCAAAGGAGCACCTGGAGATGTTGCTTGGTGCTCATCCTTAAAATGAAATAAACCGTAACTTTTGAGGGGGTCTTGACTTTATTTGCCAGACACACGGCACTGAACACACATGCAGAGGTGAACACTGAACACACATGCAGAGGTGAACACAGAACACACATGCAGAGGTGAACACAGAACACACATGCAGAGGTGAACACAGAACACACATGCAGAGGTGAACACAGAACACACATGCACGGGTGAACACAGAACACACATGCAGAGGTGAACACAAGACAACATTAGCACGACCAGTAATCCTACAAGCTATCATCACTACCCTCCTGACTGTTCTCCTCACTGTCTTCCTCTCTGTCAGACATGGTAGCTGATGATGTAGGCCTACTTCTTTCTCTCTGGTTGAGTCTGTGATTAGTTGCTTGCATCCACAAGTCAACAGCTGGTTTTGGGTCGAAAGTCTCTGTTGTCATCTTAGACAAGTGGATGTAATCAAATAAGTATGTGAACATAACCAATAGCCTACCATAGCCAATAACAAATTAATGTAACTTATTTTATTTGTGTTGTTCATTCATATCTTATTTTACCTTAACATTTATTTATTTATGCATTTTTTTTTTTATCTCCAGTTTTAAAGGATATTTTTGGTTACTGTCCTATAGTATACATTGGAATGATTTCAAACCTGTTTATCCCAATAATTACAAAGGAGTGCCTTGGAAATATGTGTTTACATAAATTGTGACCAAACCGTTTGAACTTAGACTAAGAGTCCTTTACCTCACTGAGCTGTAGTTAACTTATCAGCCTCTCAGTCTGACTGGAGAGGACTCTCCCTCCACATTATTGTAGAAACATCTTCTTCTTATCTCCGTTAGAGCAGCTAGCACGGCACCAGATTATAATAACAACAGCGCTGGTACCACCCTCCCTCTCGCCCTCGCTCACTCGCATTTTGTCTGTGAGCTGCGGGCGCCAGATAAGCCAACATCCCCCATTTTCATCACTTACTGCGCCCATCGTACAGGGCAAATGAAAGGTGGAACCGGGGTGAAAAGGGTGTTACATTTACTTAATTGTAAATATTGTTACATCAAGGCCGAAAATTAGGATGAGCCCCAACGGTCAAAATGTTTTTTTCCCTCCCAGAACTGCCAGCGCAGCACCTCCCCAGATCTGGCGCCCTAGGCGAACATCTAGCCAGTGCTACGGGCCGGCCCTGAGTTCATATCATGGTTAATATGCAACTCGCAAATATCTTTCTCTCTCTCTTTCTTCTCTCTCTCTCATCTCTCCTCTCTCCTCTCTTTTCTCTTCTCTCTCTCCCTCTCAATGATGGTACGCAAATGCGCTTTGTTTCAAATGCTCTTTGTTTGGCGGAGGTGCGCATGCGCACCTGCGCACCAGTTATGTGCAGCCCTGTCTATATGACTGATATTTGAGTTAAAGACTACAAACATCAAAACAAAATCTGCAGACATAAATGGATGCAATTATTCATGGATATGAAATCAGATGTTCATACAGCATATTGCTCGTGCATTAGCATGTGGTTTGATATTCTTTGATAGAGTAGTGGTGGTGACGTTTGTACCATTTGTACATACAATAGTTATAAATGGTTGAAACACTACCTTACTAACACTATACTAAACACACAGATGAGTGCTGTAAACAGAAGCAGCTTTCACCAAATAAACCTCCTGCTCTTCTTCTACAGAGTGAGGCCTTCTTTTGAAACCATGGCTCTATCATGACATGGGGACAATGAATACAACACTTAAGCATGTGTAACTTTTTAATGTTTCTTTGCTGTGTTTTTAAAGGGAGCAGCCCATCTTCAGCGCCCGAGCTCATGTCTTCCAGATTGACCCGGCCACCAAACGCAACTGGCTGCCGGCCAGCAAACACGCCGTCAGCGTGTCCTTCTTCTACGATGCCAGCCGCACCGTCTACCGCATCATCAGCGTGGGCGGGACCAAGGTGGGAGCCTCACAATAGCTGCACTGATACACATGAATAAGCTCTACTTCCTATGTGCATATCACACATAAGGGTATTTGGTTTTATAATATTCTTCTGCTTCGATTGTTTCAAGAGGAGAAATGTTCAAAAACCAATAAATCATTATTTAAAATTGGTTTGTTCAAAAGTCTTTACCAGCATAGATTGTTTCTAAAATGGTCTTTCTAACTAAATTGATTATTGTATTTCTGTCAAATGAAGCCAGCACAAGAGGCAGTGGGACTGCTCTAACAATCAAATCAAGCGTTTATTGAGCCCTTTACATCTGCAGTAACACACTGAACTCAGCAGTGAATGAACAGTATTTTCTTCATGTTGCATTAATATTACATCATTGTAGGGTTTCTTCTCATTTGATGTTGTCTCCCTCTGTGCACCCTATCCTGTGTTTGTTTTTTTAAATAAAGGGAAATAAATCTGTTTTCCATTAGGTTGTGGCCGTTATGGGTGGGGATGCATTAGTCATATGTCAGCAGATTATTTATAACACACCCACATTGGTAATACAGCATCAACAAGAACGCTGAAGCCCCTGGGAGTCCCAACAGTGACATCATACCTTGTTGGCACGTAAATGAAAACCCTTTGTAGTTTTCAGCCAGTGTGCCAATTTAATACACTGGGACTTTTGTAGAGGAGACCAAAGAGATCTATGTTTGGCATCAAAACCATATCATTAGACTGTTAGGATGAGACGATCCCTGAACAGATCATCGCACAACACAACAAGCCTTTTCACTTTGCGCTCGGTCTTTATTTGCAAGCACAGCTCTTCCGTAGACGTGCATAATATTGTTTTGTTACTCTAAAGTGATACAACTGCTGAGGCTTCAGAGTTAGACCCTTACCTTCCATAAATCTGAACTGAGGAGTTCATTTTGCCATGTTGATTGTTTTTTAAACTTGTTGATTGTGAATATCTGCTGCACAGTTGGCTTCTTGATAATCAGATGTAAATCAGCACATTTGCTGAACAAGTACACACAAAGAAAAATCTAACGAGCTCTAATGAATTTGGCATTAATGTTTTTCAAATTAGGTCTGGATAGTGTGCATTTTTTGTCCTTGAAATAACATTTAAACAGGCATTTTCAAGCACATTGGATTGAAGCAAGTCAGTTCCAGAGTAGTTGCGATCCATCAAAACTACTGTGGTTTCTGATTCACCCAATATTATGAAGACATTTGTGTTAAAGTATTCAAGTGAATGTATGAGTTTGAATTTATAGAAAATTCATAAAATATCAATCATAAAAAGAAATGTGAAATATTCCAATCATTTTGACCCATCCCCCCCAGTTCATTTTGGCCGAACATCTTCCAGTGTGCACAGTAATACAACAACTTCCTCTGCTTTATATAAATATTGTGTATTTATGTGCGGCATCCTATCAATTATCTACTCTTTTCTCCATTAAATGTACATTTCTTATATTCCCCGTGTTAGGCCATCATCAACAGCACCATCACCCCCAACATGACCTTCACCAAAACGTCCCAGAAGTTCGGGCAGTGGGCGGACAGCCGGGCCAACACGGTCTACGGCCTGGGCTTCTCCACTGAGCAGCAGCTGCACCAGGTAGACGCCGCTCACACTCCTCAGCAGCATTTTTTATAAAATACTTCAAAGGGTTTTACTTTAATTCTATATTAGAGGGGGAACGGTTGCGTTTGGAGATGGAGACTACAGTCATATATTGATCAAGACCCCTTTTTCAATGTATATTAACACATCTTTTATTCTGTCAGTGTATAATGCAGCTGGTCTAAACATACACAACATGTCTCCATTGTCTTTGTCTCACTATGAGCCAAGTTTACATAAACTTCCACTATATCTACTATAATTGAATTTTTCCTCAAGATTTTATTTTTGTGAGAAAACATGACCTTAGGAGACCATGTTTCTTCCACAATTTGCAAAATATGCTTAAAACATATTTATTGAAATTTCAGATAAAGAACGTTAAAGGCTCAGAGGTCACCTCCCCTCCACAATAAATGAATCAAATATTTTAATTTGTCTATAATTATGCTGCATGATCCAGAGTGAAAAGTACAACGATGATGAAAAGTTGATTTTGGTATGATGTGTATGGTTTTCAGGATATCTCAGCAAACGGGGAGTAACTTGTGTTCCCTCTCCTGCAGTTTGCAGAGCAGTTTAAGGAGGTGAAGGAGGCGGCACGTCTGGCCAGAGAGAAATCTCAAGAGAGGTTTGAACTGTCCAACCCGGCGCTCAACATTGCAGCTCCAGAGGTAAAGCACTACTCTACTCTCTTAAAGATTTTCTCCGTTTTTGGCTGATTAGAGAATGCCCCAGGTAGAAAAAGGAATCCCAATATAGTCAAAATAACCTGAGCTAGTGATCATAATAAATCAGCAAAAACAAGTGAATGGCGGCAAGGGAACATCTGCACAGTAATATATATTTCTGCCCTGCTCATTTTATGTAATTTCAGCATACAATTAATCCCCTTGATTAAAGCTTTTTCCATTTGCGGATCTGTAAACTTCAACTACAGATTTCACTGGAAACAGTTTTCAGTGAAAACCTAAAATGAAAAGCAAAGGCAACGATAACATTGAAATCTGTCGACAGGAGGTTCTGGATTATCCTGTGTAATCAAGACATTTATTTTTGGAAAGACGCATTATTGGGTCACACATTATAGCTGAGATATGAAACTAAATCGGCACGGAGGATAGTTGTATTCAAACTCAAATAATTATTGGTGGTAATAAAAGTAAGATTTTCAGTGTCACCATCATATCGAGAAAATCCATACCAAGAAGGGAAATGCCACTAATAGTAAGGATGATTTTGCTGATCAGACTTAAGAGAAAACCTTTTAAACAAGTGAAAATAGTATACACGTGGCCTTTCAGAAGGATGGACAACAGAGTTTAGTGTCTACAACCCGAAGGCCAATACAACTCAGAGGAGCAGTTATACTCCAACAAACTCAATGGCTTTGTTTCTATTTTACACATATACCGAATCATAAGGGATTAAATGTATCGTCATCTGGCCCGGCCATTATTCTCCCATTGGTTAACTCCATTAAAGGATTTCATGCATGACAAATGGAGATGGGAAGCAGAAAGAGACGCTGAAGGTGTTTGGAGGGGCAGTAATGGCAGTAATGGCGGGGACTGAAAGAAAGAAGAATGAGGAATCAGGAGGATGGGAATGAGGGAAGATGGAGGAAGGGAGTCGAGCTGAATCATCTATAATTGAAAGAAAGCTGGCTTCTGCTGAAAGGACAATGGTCAGCTTTTATCCTGCCAGTGTCGGTGATTTCTGGTGGACTGGATAACTCGGTTGGAGAAGGGAAAGTTTGCCTTTAGTGGAAACTTTTCATTTGTCACCTTTCTCTCTCACAAAACAAGCCACCCTGTGGTGACATTACAAGTACATGACAAGACACACGGTTGTATTTTTATAGTTTTTCTGATACCTATAGCATTAAAATGAACAACTAACAAACACTCTGACTGTGATTTCATTGTTCCAACATAGAGGAAAAAGGTCTCATGCTATCTTTGGGAAGCTAGCAACTCCGCTAGTCGTGTTTATTAGTAAGATGTGCCAAGTGTTAGCATTAAGAGTATTCTTATTAGCATTAAGAGAGTGTTGTTATAGTGACAGTGTAAACCAGTGTTTGTGTGTGTCTGCACTGTGTAAAGTCCAAACAAAAAGCCATTCAGCCTCATGCTGCCGAACACGACCTGAGCTCTGAGACCCTCGGATAAGAGCTGAAGGTTTGTCTTGTTGTTTATTTAGTGAGTGCAGCAACAAAACATTGCTGGATAGAACAAAACAGAGCAGCAATAGCAAGGATGTCCACAGCACGAGAAGCCACATATGAATGGTAAAGTGGTATCGCATTTTGTTTAATGGAGAGCATTCGACAAGAGTAATGATTTAAGGGTAGATGGCTCAAAGTTAAGTGAAATACTGAATCTCCACACTAAATTACATTACATTTTGTAAGTTCTCTTCACTCTTCATTTAATGATCATGTACTTTTCTTAAACAACGACCAACGCTTAGTTGAGATAGTAACAAAAAAAGGTTTGTTGACAGGGAACAGGTTGTACCTGTCCAGGCTGACAGCGAAGGAAAACTCTGCCAGGATCCATCCCATCCACTCCAGTTACAGGCAATTCCTTCTGGTCGCAGATATGGATATGGCAAATGTAATTGCCGTCAATAACAACAACAAAAAAAGAGTAGAAAACATTTTTTTTAAATATAAATTTAAAAGGAAAATGAATATGGTCAAACACAGCTTTCTCCTAAAAACTGTAAACAACGGATTAAAAAGCAATGATCCTGTTCCACACGTGCTGCATGCTGATATTGCAGTTCACTGTGTGTAGTTGTACACACGTGTGAAATGATTTCCTCTCCTGCATGTCTGGTTTCTCTGCTTTGGCAGTGAACTGTCCTGTAGGATGTAGCAGTACACACACACTTCTGTTTATCTGCAGAAAGAAAAACAGATGAATGGTGAATTTGTCGATGGCGGGGAGGAAACTGAAGTACACAGTTATTGCTCGACACACACAGAGGTCAGGGTCAACAAACAAAGGTGTTGAATCATGTTACCACGGTAACCAGAGACCTGTTTTCCTGTTGGGTAACACGCAGAGGCAGGGACACATGGTCAAGCTAAATTTATTATTTGAACACACACATACACACACACACGGCCTGGATAGAGCTGTGAGGTCAGGCTCGGGTGTGTCTACTGATTTTCTAGAAGACCCAGCAGCCATTGATTTTGTGTCAGGCAGTAAACACGGAGGGGTTATGTGCAGGGGTGCACATAACTTTTTTGCCCTGGTTCTCAAAGGAGCACCTGGAGATGTTGCTAGGTGCTCATCCTTCAAATTAAATAAACCGTAACTTTTGAGGGGGTCTTGACTTTATTTGCCAGACACACGGCACTGAACACACATGCAGAGGTGAACACAGAACACACATGCAGAGGTGAACACAGAACACACATGCAGAGGTGAACACAGAACACACATGCAGAGGTGAACACAAGACAACATTAGCACGACCAGTAATCCTACAAGCTGTCATCACTACCCTCCTGACTGTTCTCCTCACTGTCTTCCTCTGTCAGACATGGTAGCTGATGATGTAGGCCTACTACTTTCTCTCTGGTTGAGTCTGCGATTAGCTGCTTGTTTTCGGTCGAAAGTCTCTGTCATCTTAGAAAAGTGGATGTAATCAAATAAGTATGTGAACATAACAAATAACCTACCATAGCCAATAACAAATTAATGTAACTTATTTTATTTATGTTCATTCATATCTTATTTTACCTTAACATTTATTTATTTATGCATTTTTTTTTTATCTCCAGTTTTAAAGGATATTTTTGGTTACTGTCCTATAGTATACATTGGAATGATTTCAAACCTGTTTATCCCAATAATTCTAAAGGAGTGCCTTGGAAATATGTGTTTACATAAATTGTGACCAAACCGTTTGAACTTAGACTAAAGTGAACTATCTAAACACTCAGAGTACTTACCTCACTGAGCTGTGGTATCAGCCTCTCAGTCTGACTGGAGAGGACTCTCCCTCCACATCATTGTAGAAACATCTTCTTCTTATATCCGTTAGAGCAGCTAGCACCAGATTCTAATAACAACAGCGCCGGTACCGGTGCACCCTCCCTCTCTCCCACGCTCACTCGCACTTTGGCTGTGAGCTGCGGGCGCTAGATAAGCCAACATCCCCCATTTTCATCACTTACAGCGCCCATCGTACAGGGCAAATGAAACGTGTAACCGGGGTGAAAAGGGTGTTACATTTACTTAATTATGAATGTTGTTATATCAAGGCCGAAAATTAGGATGAGCACCAACGGTCAAAATGTTTTTTTCCCTCCCAGAGCTGCCAGCGCAGGGCCTCCCCAGGTCTGGCGCCCTAGGCGAAAATCATTACGCCAGTGCTACGGGCCGGCTCTGAGTTCATATCATAGGTTCATATGCAACTCGCAAATATATTTCTCTCTCTCTCTCTTTTCTCTCTCCTCTCTTTTCTCTGCTCCCTTCTCTCTCTTCTCTCTCGCAATGTTGGTACGCAAATGCGCCTTTTTTCAAATGACGCACCTGCACACCAGTTATGTGCAGCCCTGGTTATGTGGTTATTATAACATGTTCTAACTCACAGCTGCATGTTGTAAAACACCTTAGTGCTGACTGTCTCCCTTTGTGATATAAAAAGAATACCAAATCAATGTGGCTATAATGAAAGTTAACGGGTCCATTAAGGCTGATATGGCTTTTTATAAATCTGTGTACAGTTTTAGAGGAATACTTCACCCCAAAAAGTGATCATCTCATTACGTACCCTGTGTTAACTTGAATTCATGTAGAAAACTAGTTTATCTTACCTGCCTTCGTTGCAAGCAAAGAATACAAATCTAGGAAAATGTGTAATAAATCTAGTCAATGGGGCCATGTTTAACAACAGCAAAACTATTTCAAAACATCTGCAAGTGCAGTATAATCCAAGCCTTACACACTCATCGGTACAATACTGTGTTTTAAATAGTAAGGTTGTTCAGAAAATGCATTTGTGTTTATTCAGTAGTGTCTGAATGAATGATAAATTGATTATACTGCAAAAGTGTGATTTTAGATGTTTGTTTCATATAGGTTTGCTGTTGTTAAACGTAGCATAGTCATTTTAATTTGTTCTCGTTCACCGCAGAGGCATGTGAAAAAATAGTTCTTCAGAAGAATTCAAGGTAACGGGTGTTTAATTGATATACAGAAGGTCATTTTTTTATTAAGTATTCCTCTTAAGCTTTTCTACAAACACAAAAACAAAAACTGTATAGAATACTCACTTGTACATATTAGTGTTTTATATATAAGTAAAATAACTGGTTTGCTTGAGTTTAATGTTAGTAAAGTGAATATAAAGATACTAGAAGCAAATGGGAACACATATGCAACGTTATGTCACAACAAATGTTGGTTCATATAATGCTGGAGGGAGGCTGCAGCATTTTGGTCTTCTTCTGTATCAGTAGATTTTACATCACATTCAGCAGGTCAGTAGCAGTGCTGGTCAGTATCCGTCTACAGCAGAGCGTCAGCCTCTGAGCAGCCTCTGAGCAGCCTCCAGCTCCACAGAGCACACATTCTGCCTCTGAAATGGGATGGCAGCAGGGAATCTGCATGAAGTAAAGCTCAGGCTTTCATGTTTATTTGCAGAGCTCTGGGATAAGATTGAGGGGGATATGATGCAGTTCAATGGGATAAAAATGAAGAATAATAAACAGAGCAAGATGGAGAGCATTATAGAACTGACTGAAGTGGAAAAACACAAAACATTTTTAAACTATGCATTAATAATTGTGAAATATATATTTATATTTGTTTTATTTAAGGTTTACGGTGTTGCCCTTGCCATGTGTATGTTGTGTTATTCAGTATAATATAGCCTCTATAAGGATTTGCAATAGTAAAGAGGATAAATAATCATAATATGCAAAATGGCATCATTGAAATCATTAAATATTTCTAGAGGACACCGAGCTGTTTCCCCCATTTCCAGTCTTTATGCTAAGCTAAGCTAACTACACTGGCTGAAGCCTCATATTTAAAGTGCAGACATAAAAGAGGCAGCAACGCCAAACTAGAAAGCAAATAGGCATATTTTTCGAAATGTCAAACTATTTCCCCTATGCAAAGTACTGTGATTGAGACTGCCTAAAAAAATGGATGCGCAAGTGTGGAGAAAAGTCAGAACTGATTGCTTTAAAGGTCCCCTATTATATACTGTTTTTCATCAATATGTTATAGGTCTCAGATAATACAAAACATGTCTCTGAAGTGTTTGACTCGAAATACCAAACAGATCATGCATTGCAGCATCCCATAAACCGGTTAAAAAGAACACAATGGTGCTCTAGGAGGAGATTCAGGTGATAAGGTGGGGGGGGGGTTACCTTGGTTGGTTATTGGCTAATGGTTACACAAGCTAACAAATCGTTATGACATCGTAAAGTGGCCAAAATCTGATCAGCTCATTTTCAGACAGGTTTTTATATAAATGGATCGGGACAAAAAGTGAGCAAATATTCTTTCCTGAAACTTTCAGAATCTCTTTACACAGAGGGGACACATGCTTATGTATGAAAGATATGAAAAAGTGGATTTTGCATAATAGGTCCCCTTTAAGTAATGGATAACAGGTTGAACTGTCAAGCCTCTGCCAGTGTAAGTGGCAGAAGTAAGAATGCGAACTTGTTATTTTTCACTGAATAAAGGGAGAAAGCCAACATGTAAAACCCCAGAAACATTATGTCTTCTATGAGTTGAGAAGCATTTAGTTCACATTTAGAAAATTACCTGTGATATTTATGAGCTCATATTGCAAGGTTGCAATGTTTGTTAGTCAAAGCAAAGGTTGAGAGCCAAGGGAGCCACACAATGAAGGTATATGAATGTCAAAAATAGTGTAGAAGAAATGTCATCTCTGCACATAAATCATGTAAACAACAGTGAAACCCAGCAGATGTCTCTTTCCTCTGACAGGTAACAGCTGCCATTAGTTTGCTCATGTTGATTGGAGCTTTTTCCTTCTGCCATCTCCTCTCATACATGGTATCCATGCAGACGCAGAGAAGCAAACAGAAATACCAGCCATTAATATTTTAAACCACAGACTTGGCATTAAAACCAGCTAAAAACAGTATGCATGAGTGTGTGCGTTGTTTAGTCCGGAGGACCGGTGCTTCAAGGGAAGCCTAAGCATGTACCTCTGATTCGTGGATCCATGAATAAATAAACCAGGTGTGTGGTCTCAGTGAAACACAGGGTGTAGAAACAGGAGCTTTATAAAGCCAGCGGAGCAAATAGACTGATGCATAGATAAATAAGTAAACAGTGTGGATGTACTTAAGACGAAGAGTGGCACAGAAACGTCGTGATGCATTCCCTCAGGAAGTGTGTTTAATATTTGAAGTATTTGGGATTTCCATTGATTACAAAGGAAGCATCTTCTGAGGAAACCCGTAAAAGGTTTTAAGTGGCTGCTTTAGGGTTGTTAAAATAAAACGCACACATACATATTTATTTAGGAGAATAGGATAATCAAAGTTGAACCAATGTTATGTTGGTTATTGTAAAACATTCATTCAATCGGTCTCTTTGGGTGTTGCTAAGTGCTCACGGCTCACTTCTCAGCGGTCACACAGCCCTCACACTAATGTGGGTGGGAATGTGACCGCTTCCTCTTTTCATACAGTTTCTCCTTGTTCAGGCTTCAGTTACCACCGCACCTCCTGCTGATGACCCTCTTTCTCTTTTGTTCTCTCCAAAATAATCAGAAACATAAAATAAATGAATACCTGTGCAACAATGAAAAACAGTGGACTGTAAGCTGGACTGAGCATAGAAAGAAATACTGTATTGTCAAACAATGGCATGATTTTAAGTATGTACTTATATTCTATGTTTTCTCCTCATCTGCCCCTTCCCTCTCCTTTCCCTGCTGCACCACGGGACACCTTCATCTCACAGCTTTCCCAGGCGAGTAAAAACATCCATCCCACCATGTAAAAGCTATGCAAAGAAAACCGTTTTCTATCTTTTGAATGTGGTGTTCGTAGTCATGCATCTCAGTGTAACACGGACTATCATGCTCAATAATTCATCTGGAGTCTGATCAAAGTTGACTTCAGAGAACATGTAGCTTTAAAACACAGATGGCATTTGCTACAAAAGAGTAAAAGCTTTGTTAAGAAATAACGGCACAAAATGTAATTTCAAGTCACATATGTACAGAATATGGCAACATGCAGCTTAATTAATTGTAATTGTCCTCACAAAATGTTTAGAAGATCTTCCTTGCTTCACACTTCATTGATAATGTTAAATATCCCCCGAGAACAGACAACACAGAATTGTCCTTTTCAAAATGGAAAAGTCCTTTTGAACTCAGCCTAATTAGTTGCCGGTCGTGGGTTTGTGCTTTAGAGTTTCTGCCTTGTTTCCACTCAGCCTGTTAGTGAACAGCATACGGAAAAACTGCTGGAAAAGTGTAATCCCATTTATGAGTTAAACATGATCCATGGCATGAATTATTCAGAGATACGCTTAGCCGATCCGTTGGCTTTGGGGCCGGACTGGAGTTGTCTTAGCTTTTGATTTTTCTCGTTCTCGGGTTCCTTCCCCTGGACACAGTGCTCATCCACATGAGCCGTGTTTTATTTCCATATTCTTCCATGAAGTCGGACAGAGAGCCGCTCGGCTATAGATGATGAACCAGCCTCCTCAGGGAATAACGATCCGGTTCGCTCAAATTTAATAATACACGCTTTTTTCTAGAATAAGTGCAGGGTTGTTATGCTTCAGTGAGGCACTTGGTCGTTGTCAAGTTCAGGTTTAGGTTAGCAAAATGAAAGGAGATGGGAGGGGGGTTAAGAATTGTGCCCAGGCTAATTCATCTGCACACTTTAAGAAAAGAAGACTCTCTCAGTCTGCTCTTTCAGTCTTTTAGCCTACAGTCTCAAACTGAGGAAAACGGATCACTAAACTGTGTGAAAGGAAGCTTGAACCCATTTCTGGGCAGCAGGGAAGGAAAATATCAAAGCAGATTGGTTACACGTGACTGCGCCAGGCTGGAGTCGAGCCATCTGCATGCTGTCATGTCAGATTCAAAGTCTCTTTCTGTCAGAGGAAGATACATGGCTCTTGTGTACTTTATTCCACCTGTATTTTATATTTGAGGCTACTCCAAATGATTTAAGAAAAAGCAACAGGATGAGGCTGGAAAACAAGTTCTTAAGTCTTTAAATGGCTCAAATCGAACATCTACAGAAAAGTTGTACTTTTCTTGAGTAGGATCCAATAGTTTTAAATGCAAGCTGAAGTACAGCTACTGAATTTACTTTATGTGAGATCGTTTGGAGATTATCTTTAAAGATGATCTTTATTATCATACCTATTAATAAACAATTCAATCAGGTGCCAAAATAAATATTAAATTCTACTAGTATTTCAGTACTGAGTAGACCCTAGTGAGCTTATTCCCAGATGTGTGCAGTGTATATAATATCTCAACAGACATACACATAATAGCAGGATAACCAGCAGGTGCATACGTCTTTACACACAAACACCAGATGAACTCCTGGAAGAGGGAAATGTACTTCAGTCAATTCCTGTTGAATCAGATCTGAGGCAGTATGTACCGAGGGCAGATGGGCTCCACACATGGCTGCTCGCTCTGCACGGAGCCTGTCTACAGTATCAGAGATGGGACACATGAAGTGCTGACAGTCTGAGCTCTGTCCTGTCCCGCTGCTGTGTCATGTCCATTTTGTTATGAGGAGGGCTCTGGATATGGAGACACTAATTGGCCTGTTGCCAGCCTCCTTTCTAAACCCAGCCAAAATCTAATTAATTGTGCTTAATCACGTGTCAGCTATGTAACATCCACAAACACTAACCTCTGTTTATGAGTAAATTGCCATATTGGAACATTTAATGTCCTCAAGAAAACCCACTACTATGTACCCTGTTAAGGTCTCTTGCTCATGTCCTGTATGTGCTGTCCTCCTTGTTGCTCCAGGAGCTGTCGGAGGAGCGCCACTCCCCGCCGCTGCTCACCGTCAATGGGCCGGGCGAGGAAAAGCTGTTTCGCAGCAAGAGTGCTGAAGTCGAGCTGACGGTGGAGAAGGAGAAAGTCAAAAAAATGTTGTCTGAAGGGTAAGGACACATTTGTTTTCATCAGCAGGAAGTATATCATGCTATTGTGTTCATCGCGCCTATGGTCTGGAGAGAAAGCTTAAAAGCCTAACATTTTTCAAGCACAACTCATTAAGAAGCTCTTCAGTTAGTAGTCGAATATATTCCAAGTTCAAGTCTTTAATCCAAAATGTGACTTGAGTAAAAGCACAAAAGTAATGTCAAAAAAATGCATTTAAACAATTAAAACCAAAAGCACCTTTTTTATACAGAATTGCTCTTTTTATAGTGTTATGTTATTATAGAATATTACATCATTTTGTTTTTATCACTCACCTCATACCTTTATTGTTGTAGTTCATCAATGTGGAGCCAATCTTGAGTACTTCCTCCTGGGTAGATTAGTAGTGGTTTTGAGGAACATTTACTTCACATTGAATGTTGTTTTTACACCTCACTGCTGTTTTGCATAATTTATTTTATTAAACTACCTGGTACAAAAAACACATTTTATTTTTTCTGATAGCTGTAATGCTATAATAAATATTTCACGATTACTTTTATCAGACAGCGAACCTAACTTATATTTTATTTAGAACATTTATTTGACAACATGGTGCAGTGTGAAGAGATACAGGAACAACTGATTCCTGCATTGAAAATGTACGCTGAGAGAACACAATGTTTATGAAAGAATATTTATTTTGCAGTAGCAGCAGCATAGAAATAATACCAACACTCCATTACAATAACACACAAGACACAGAGACATAAAGTACATATTAAAACAAGGCAGTGAGAGCTGCAGATGTGAGTGTGTGGGAGTACTGATGTGGGAGATGTTATTTGTTAGAGTTGAGAAAGTTTACTACAAAGGTTGTAATCTCATCTCCAACCCCCAGCTTGGCTACATGAGCAGAGGAAGATGCCCTGAGCATTTTTGTTGAGCTCTATACTATACAGCGTATTAAGTGTTACTCAAACTGTGGAAAGCCTTTCCTCACAAATGACGAGTGATTAAACTGCAGAGCTGCCCAAAGATTTCCCACCATAAGGTTCAGTTTTTCTCATAGATGTTTCTAGCAAAAGGATTTATAACAACGAATGAAATAATATTAATGATTATTCAAGAATAATAATTATTATTCTTTCTGGCTCATAGCCAAACTTCTCATCAACATCCACTGAAAGCTGTTCACAGCCTTTTGAATTATCTTTCCATCAAACAAAGCTAAAAAAATTGGCACGGGGAACAGGTTTTGTAGAGACAGCAGTTGGGATTTATTCTACAAACAACACGTCCATCCTGTTATCCGTCCAGAGAGCCAAGCTGGTACCCACACTGCCTTTCTTAACTGACAGGGAAGCATCACATCCACATTAACTACCTCATGGTTACCCTTTCACTCGGAGAGTACATGTAAATTACAAGGGCCTGTTATTGGTATTTTGGTGATAAACTAAATAATGATCAACTGAATCTGCAGCTTGGCTTTTTTTCTTTTTGGTTGACGCTCGAGCTCTGTCATCAGCGTAATTTTTCGGCTACAGCTGTAAGCTCTAAAGCCCACTGTATAACAGAGTGAATATTGTACATTAATCCATTAGTTTCCATAAATACAACTCCAAATGAATGCTAATGTTGATCCATAACTGTGGATGTGCTAACAACTTTAACATATCAACTTGAATTTGTTTTAATGTTGTCAACCTTGTTTTTGCTGCCCCCATGTGGCCAGAAAAAGTCTCCTATTGCATTTAAAAATACATACTGCAGAAATTAAGTATTGTAATCCCACAAATAAGGAAGAACTCAGGAAAGAAAAATTAAAAGCTCCACCTTTTTACACACATGAAAAATACTTGTCAAGTAATATGGGGAAGGAAAAATGCCAACAATGTTGAAACCTTTGAGGCAAGATACACAGCTCGACTGTTTTGCAGTATCTACCTACTTGTAAAAATACATTGTGGGAGCTAGTTCAACCAATCGACTGTGGCTTGGACAGAGTATGGATAAATGGAGAATATGTAGAGCTTTGGTTTTCAGGACAGGTACCACTGATCCAGGGCATTGGAGTCTGACTCATACTGCAGACTAAATGTAAAATTAAAACTGTAAAATAATGTAAAAATGGTTCTTCAGAATTGAATAAGTGCACTGTAAAATAACTCACCCGTGTAAGATTTGTTCTCTTCCTCCTTCTTAGTTTTTCTAACAAAGCACCATAGACAGCAGACTGCTGTGTAAGGAAAGGTATTGCGTGTGTGTGTGTCTCTTGTATAGAATATACAGAAGAGCCAACTATAAGAAACCAGTCTTTTAGTCATGGCCTTAGGTTTGACTTCTCTAAGTGTGTGTGTAACCAGCCATACCGGTGATGAATTTAGGAGCTCATAATTATCGTCGTCATCCTGGTTCTCATTATTGATCACTCAACATACCATTAGAGACCAGGAATCAGAAAACACTCATGCCCGTCTGCTTTCAACCTATCATCCCAACGGTTTTATTTCCTGATTGTCTAAAGCCTACGCAGGCTTTTTCTCCTGTTGCTATGGTGAGCAGTTGTATGTTACCAATCAAAGCTGTTAGTTAGGTTGTCATGGCAAAGAGTTTTCTCAACTCTGTCTTACTGTGTGAAAGCTCTCTGTTTTTTTTATTAAATATCACGACCGACACTGACCTTTTAAAAAAAATGATGTTTATTAAAAAAATGTGACTTGTAAAAAATTCACATGAATCACAAAAAAACATAATAATAATCAAAGTACTTTGATACTTTGCATCTTAATAGATCAAAATTAAACCAAGCCATACTTTATTTTAAGTATGTGGAATTTAGTCCTTTAGCCACACATGGCAGGATAATGCTTCTGTGTTGCTTTATTTCCCTGCCACCCTATGGTCTCTGTAATTATCTGCTATTATGAATCGTACTGTTCTGCAAGTTATGAGCATAACTTTAAAATCAAATGAATGACAAAGTATATACAACAGAAAGATGGAATTTAGAAATTCAAAACGTTAATAAAACACATTTTTGGGTCATTTGTATTTCAGTGGATACACATAGTTCGGTCTTTGACTTGAATGACAGACATTTAAAAACCTGGCCTTCTGGCTACTAAAAAATATCTCTCAAATGTCCCATAACAGCTTGTGCAACATGATATAAATGTCTGTTATCTGCTGCATTTTCAATCTCTATCTATTCTATGCCTTCTCCGACCGTAACTCAACAATATTTTGTATCTATGTGAAATGGGAAAGCTGTCATAAGTTGGGATTCCTGCTTTAAGTTAAGTCTCTGTTCTTTCTGTGTCTTCCTCTCAGGTCAATGTGTGAGATAAACCTGGAGGCCGAGCTCTTCACGCTGCAGGACAGTAACGCTAAGCTGGTGGCGGCTCTGCAGGAGGCCAGCAGCAGCGTGGAGCAGTGGAAGCAGCAGCTGGATGAATACCAGGAGGAGACCGACCGCCTCAGAGACCAGGTGACGCAGAGCGGGCCAATGATACAATACCCCTGCAGCTCAAAACTACGAAGTACAATTCACAATGTCTGCTAAAAGCTGAGACTGTTGAGGTGCTGATGATTCAATTTAGTGTTCATCTCTGAGGCCGTAGTTAATGTTATCAAGCAAATGTTGTATTTTACACAATTTTGAATTTATTCTTGCCCTATGACATTATTTTAAACATGTTTGAAACTGACTATACAAGAAATTCAGGATACAATAAGCCCTCTTAACAATAATATACAACAAACGTTCCCATTAGAGTTGTATTATTTCAACACTTCAAAGTGTATCAAGAAGGAATGCTATGTTTCAACTATTTATTACATTACATTACATTGCATTTAGCTGACGCTTTTATCCAAAGCGACTTACAATAAGTGCGTTCGACCAACAAAATACAACTTGAAGAAAACAGAATCATATAAGTACATCAGGTTTCATAGAGCAAAAACATTTCAAGTGCTACTCAACTGGCTTTAGAAAAGCCAGTCCTTTATTAGTATAAAAGTGCTTCGTTAATAGTTCTATCGCTCGAAGTGGAGTCGAAAGAGATGAGTTTTCAATTTGCGCCGGAAGATGTGCAAGCTATCTGCCGACAGATTTATCATCTGTTGAACCAATGTTTGGGTTAATTTAACGGGTGATAGTAGTGTGAAGCATTAGTGTTGTTACTATGGTTATGCCTTACTTTAAATACAAGTTTCCCACATATTTTTATCTTAAGTTTTCTTTTTACTTTGTCGTTTTACAATCACTATTGAGGGTCTTAAAGGCTGTGCTTTTTTCTCATGTAATAATAATAATAAATGATATTTATATAGCGCCTTTCAAGGGACCCAAGGTTGCTGTACATGGACAAACAAAACAAACAGACACTGCCCAAAGGGCACATGTACTTTTTGTTCTCTTGGTGTAGGAGGTCAAACAGTAATCGCTCAGAAATACGGATGAAAAGTTGCATAAAACAGGTTTGATCAACGTCACAAACCCTGCATAGACTTCCCGTTTCGATTTAGTGTGCTCAGTTTAATATTTTTACATCAGTGCTGCATTAAGTAATTCCCTGCTTCCTGTCAATAGTTTCTGACCTAAAAGAGGAAATATGACGTCTAAAAAAACAGGCCACTATAAAAAGTATTTGATTCAGGGACAAGGGTATCTGCATATGCTGAGGAGCAGTTTTTTGGGGGGGGTAGTTTGGATACTTTCAATCTGAAAACACAAATCTGGGAAACAAAATACGTATTTAGAGTTATCATTAGCCAAATTAAATAAAACTAATACTTTTTTATGAAATATAATCAGGTTATATATTCATATGCTTATATTCTGAAATTAAACAAAACAGACGCTTTGTTTAGCAATGTTTATGGTCTATAAAACTATTTTTCTTACTTTCCTCACTATGTGATCACTCAGATAGCAACTGGAAATTATTCAGACTTTTTATAAGAGCAATCATTTATAACTATCATATTAAAATCCCCACACAGACTTAGTCTCTTCCAAACTGCAGATGCATTTTTCATCCAGCCCTTCCTTGGGATATTTCTGTTGACAGGCTCCCTGGATAATGGCAGACATTTCATCTTTCATTTACAGAGAGGAAATGATGCCCTTGGTCAAGCTTAACAAGGCTTCCTCAATGCGACAGAATTAAGTGCTAATGCAACCGGCCTGCAATGGAACCATAACCACCAGTGACAGAAAACTGGCCCTTTTTATTTTTAGCCCACACTGTGGTTTCATATCTGCGAGTCCAGGTGAAGGTTACCCCCCCAAAACACAAACACACAGTTACACACACACTGCAGCAAAGTCAACCAGGTGGCTGGAAGTAGAGCAGGCCGCCAGGGATTGTCAATTGGGTTTGAGAGGGGGGGGGGGGGCAGGGTTTATTTTTTTATTTTTTCGGGGGACAGGACGCCCTATAGGCCCTACTGCCCATCCTCCCCTCTTTCTGCCCCAGTTAACGAAAGAAGATAAATCATCATAACTGCAGAGGGAGAGAGGCTAGATTGTTCTACCTCGTCACACTCGGCTTCAGCCATGTTTGTGTTGATCCACAGCAGAACGTTTATTCTGTGTTGACTTTGACCCATGCTCAGTACTAATGAGAATTAGCAACATATGGTGTGCAGTACTTGGTTATATAATGTATTTGATTGTAGCAGATTTTAATAGGTTTTATGCTTGATTTTTGTCAATATGTTGCTTGGATTACATTTTGCTAATTTATTTAGTTTTGCTCGGGATTTTAACTATTGTACGTTTTAGAGAATCCGGAATCTGAATAAGATGTCAATGCAAATGTATAGTTTTCTATATATATATACATATATAAATACAATATCATTTGTTTTTCAATCTCCTATCAATTGGTTGACAGCAAAAGGTTTCTAGATAATAATTTAGATATGAAATTGGAGATGTTGCATGTTTTTCTCCATGTGTATCTGTTTGGAGGTCAGACGGAGCGGGTGCCTCTAGGGACAGCAGCTGTCACACAGAGTGGATATGAAGGTGTTGAATCCTCTGGGATCATGTGGACCCACAACGTGGCGTAGCGTGAATTTTATGAAAAGGGACTTTGAAAATACAGAGTAGATGCTAAAGGGAGGAAATAAAAGTGTTCACATGGGAGCAGGAATCCCTCTGCCCCTTCACACACACATTTACATTTCAGAGATGAAGAAATGACCAGCATTGTGATGATAACTGCATCGTCAAAATAGCCTAAAGACTGAGGGTCAACTGTTAATTAATTAAATAAATTATTTTATTATTATCAATATTGATTATTTAAATCCTTAGACTTCTTACTGTTTATTTTAGAGATTCAAGATGATTGTAGTAATTTTCCAAACAAAAGCTTCACTGTCAGATGTCATTGTGAAAAAAAGGAAACATTTTGATCAATTTAATCCAATTAATACTCACTTTCATGTAACATGTTATCTGTACGGGAGATATTCCTCAACTAATTTGACCTAACTTGTTTCAACGCTTAAACACAAAACGTAATTATTTTTTTTAGGGCAAAACCAAACATTCAAATACTCAAACTGTGCAGAGTTCAGAAGGGCTAAGGTCAGATTGAGAAAACAAATAACATAATGTTATCTGAGCCTTATCAGTGTGAAGTCATGTGTAAAGCTTGTTATGCACAAAGCCTCTTGTTTCCAACTTTGTTGACCCTCAGTTGAAGTTCCCCATTTCCATCAGTGATAATTATCACACTACACTACTTGTATATTATATTATTGTACTTGAAAGTCGCTGCCGTCATGTAAAACCCTTTTTAAAGCTAATTTTGCTGATTTCCGTAGTGTATGATGGAGGTAAAGGGTAATTTGATTTATATAATTGAAAATATATTGTTTGTAACATTTTCAAAGCTTTTCATTGGATCACAGCTAAAATGAAATCCCAGTAAATAATTTTCTCTAGATAAAATAGATTTTTGTTTACCAACCAGATACTTGTTTGTCAGCAAATTACGCAAAGTCTGTTTAAAGATTCCCATGAAACTTGGTCTGATCCAACTAAGATTAAAAATGTACAATTTTATTTTTTTCTGGAGTAGTTTCAAATCAATACAATGTTAAATGACCTCTGTGCTTGAGTGTAAGATGGAGAATGGTTTAGCATTGTTACATTTTCTTTATATCTAGTATTCTGCTGATATTCATCAATAAGGCTCCAAATGAGAGCTATGTTGTTAACAAAGGAGACTAATTTTCTTACAATTCTATTCATTGTTATGCCTCCACGTGGACTGCTGCGTCTGCCATGGCACGAGGCATAAGGTTTTTGGTTGGTTAGTCGGTCTATTTGTCCTTTTCATTCTTATAAATGCGATGATTCAGCAATGCCATGAAGAAATGTTCTTAAATGTGGCACAAACAATCACTTGAAATGAACTGATCAAAATGTTACTTTCAGAGTTATTCAAAATGTCATTACATTTGTACTTACAAAATGTGAAGACAGAGTCCAAACTGAAGTACTTCAGCAGCTCTTGGATGGATTTCATTGACATTTGGTGCAGACATCTCTCGCTCCCAGAGACCACCAACCAAACACCACATGGCTGACATTTAACGCCTTAATAACGATTTGATAGATTGAAGTACAGCCTCACAGAGCCACTAGCAAGGCGGTTAAATGTTAATCTTATCTTATATAATGTCTAAAATGAAACGCGCTTTATAAATTAGTTAAGTTAAGAAGTATGTATTGATTGTGTGTCTGTCTGTGTTGCAGGTGGCGGAGCTTGAGGGCCAGCTGGGGCACCCTGCTGCCGGTCAGTCTGCGAGAGAGGAGCTGAGTCAGTCCCTGGAGGAGCTGGAGGCCCTGCTGAGCGCCAAAGATCAGGCAAGCACACAAGTTCCCTGCACTGCACTCTGTCCAAATCCATCTCCTAACCTCAAAGAAACCTCAGTGTGGAAAGCCAGTCTAGAGAAGCAAATAATATACTGCCAATAATTCACGGGATATGTGTTTTTATTCAGTTTTTGAGAATAGAGCCTCCATATCCATCTGATGAAGGTTTAAAAAACATTTGCTAATTAATGTATAATATATTAAGAAAAGAGGGTTGGAAAAGTATAAAGTGCCAGTTTGAGTATGTATACTCACTAAATCATCTTAAGACTTCAAATAAGATATTTCCGATTCAATAACCAAAAGATAATTACTGAACAAAATGTTGAGAAGAGAACGCTCTATGGGGATTTTACTTATGCTCTTCTTTTGTAACTTCAAATGTTTGGCCTAAACTAAGAGAGCTTTGGAAAAATACCAGATGTATTGGCTATTTCCAAGTTTGCTTTAATATGATGTTTTATGTCCCTTATGTCAATTTCCATCAAATGCATTCTGGGCACATTTTCTCTGCATAAATAAAACCAAACGATAAAGTGAAATATTCCTTGAAAGCACCTTGCTGCTGTCCTCCAGCCTCATTTACATAACCATGTCCGTCAATCATCTAAACAAGTTTAATTGTGGCTTGATTATTCATGCGAGCTCACGGTGGTATGTCCCCCTCCTCCCCGGAAACATCAAGGTGCCCCAAACCTTATCACCAACCTCATAAATGACCCTTTTTAAACCACATGAAGTCTTAGGGTTCAAAACATAAGATGAATATTCGATGATCTTAGCAGCAGGAAGGGTGAATATGTGGGAAGTGAGGTGGTGTTGTGACAGTTCAAATCACTGTGCTTTCAGGAAATTCACAGTCTACAGAGCAAGAAAACAGATGTGGGTGAGCTGGAGAAGGAAAGAGAAGAGACCATACAGAGACTTGAGGTGAGATACAAAAAAAGGCTAAGTGTTGTTTTTCTTTTACATGAAAAAATGTCATGTTGCATTCGATTTGCTTAATTGCCATTTGTCCCATGTCAGCAGACAGTAAAGAGGATCCAAAGAGAAATTATTCACTGAAGTGATCCATAGGAACCAACATTCTTCGACACTAATATCTGAGATCTTTCAGTAATACGGAAAATCACCAAAGAAAATGTGTCTTAGGACATTCTAACTCAGAACGTCTACAACAGACTCATGAAATATGAGAAATAGAACTGGTTCATTGTATTTGTATTTCCCACCTGCATTGTCAAAAGTAGGAAATCCACTTTCATTGACAGGGAGATGAAAGCATTTCATCTTCCGTCTGAACAGAGACATTATTTTCTGATGCTTGCGATTCATTTGCAAAGAATTCAACATGTCAGTCTTCACAGAATTTCTATTCAAGTTTTTATTCCAGTATAAACTGTTTTATGATTTGTACTATATTCATATCGGAAATGTTCATTGTGTGTTTTATATGTTACTGATGTATCTGGTTCTGTTATCTTCACCATATAAGGTTTATTTTAACATGGCTCAGATGGTTTGATATGGGTGTGCATGCTAGACTAGAAGCTTCCTTGTATAGTATATTATTCAACAAACCATTGTAAAGTATGTCGTAAAAAATGTGAAGAATGCAAATGGGTCGTTTTCTATTGCTCTAAAAACCAAACCGGGTGGAACATCTAAGTGCTGATACTGTGGCTGAAACAGTACAAAGCAGCACAGTGCAGACCTGCAGCAGAGAATCAGTATAGGATAACTCGTACTTCAAGGAGAAGTTAATAGTGTCAAGTCGCCATGCTAACGCAGGGGATAATACCTGATGCATATTGCATAGCCCTAATTAGGTTCTCCATCATTTTGAGCAGTGGTGTCAGTTGTGAATTATGTATATTCATATATGACCTTTGCTGTCCTTGGGTTACTTCCATAATCTATTCATTGGTGCATTTGGCATACAGAATAACCTCCTATTACTCAAAATTGCACATATAAACAGTTTATATACTATGACATCCTCTGAAAACTTTATATCAGTGTGCAGCCACACAAGGAGTGAGAGTTTACATGCATTTAAGTAATGCTGGACTGTTTTTTGAGATACCAGTGCTTTACTGGTACCTGCTCTGAAGCTGTTCCACAATGGCTGCTGCTGCTAGTTTTATCTGCTCCAGTTTGAATTGGCAGTTTTAGTCATTGTTAGTGTATGCATCAGTACTATATAAATGTTCATGTTCACAGAATACACGATACTTCCGATAAAGATTAAAGGTGTGTAGACTTACACTAGGATACATTGTAATCATGCTATACTAAGCTAGCCGATATAAACATGCACAAATATTTATACCCTAATTTTGAGTAATGATAATCAGTGTGCCCAAGAGTTCAATAGGGGAACCACACAGGTAGGAGAAAAGCATTGACCATAGCACATGTCATTTTTTAACACTCATCCCACTTTTATCAGCATATTGTTAAGTATAGAGCTGGCAGATATAACAGCAGGAATCAGGGTAGTCCAGGCTTACATTTGTAGACATTCTTGACCAGGGTGGTTTACAATACAGCTCTGTAATGTACATCCCGAAACCAAATTCATTATACATTGTTAAGAGTTCTAGTTGCAGGTCAAAAATAATTCAAAGAAGGAATGCAAATTGAACACCAACCCATGCAGACAATATATCTCCATGCAGATGTATAAAACTGTACTAACAACAGTTCATGTGTGTACAGGATCTGGAGAGACTCAACAGCGACCTGGAGGATCGGGTCCAGAGTACTGAGAAGACGCTGGCGTCCAGCCGGGAGGAGCAGAACCAGGCGGAGGTCGAGGTCCAGCGCATCATCGAGGTTCTGGACGTCAAAATCTGCGACCTGAATGACTTGAGACAGAGCCTGGCAAAACTCATCGACAAATAGCCACAGCTGCAGTCGGGTTGCATCTCCACAGTCAGTTCCAACCATGGCGCTTTGATTTGTGTTTTACTGGTTTATCAGGAGAGCAACCATCAAAACACTATGGAGGAACCTTTACTGGTGTTTACCTCCATGGATCTGTGTTTATAAGATCAGTGCAGGTAAACAGCAGGTATCAGAATCCTCTTTAAGGTGCTATGTGCAGAATAAAACAGTATTGTGACATTAATACTGGAGCCTCGGTATGATTATCATAAACAGTTGACAGTGTGGTTCAACTTGCTACTATAGCTTGTTTCTCTATATCCTTGATCCTAGCAGCTGCATGTCATTTAGCCCCTGAAGAGGATAACAGGATTTATACACCAGGTTTTTATTCTTTTCTCTATCTGCCATCAATGAACACTCTGAAAGCTTTCCATCAATTATCTCCAGAATAGCAGCACTCTCCTCTGTATGATGCTATAGCAGTCCAGCGTATTCTGTCAGTATCTGACGGTTTACAATGTGAAATGCTGAGTAGTGGATCCTGAATGGTCTGAATTGTTTATGGTAATTTTACTGATGCCCCAAAGGACTGAGGTAATCATTTATTGATATCAAAACATACTTAAAGCACCTTGAGGAATTAAACCAAAATTAATATTTTGCAAAAGTAGACATTTCGTACCCGTTATTCAGTTTTGATGTGACGTACTGTATCTTTATTTAATACAGAGAGGGTGATCCACTTGTATAAGTATATTCCTTTACTGAATTAAGTGGCAGAAAAACTAGGAAAGAAGCAAAATAAGTTCCTGACAGTGTTTATTAAAAGCCAGCAGTGTGCCGCTTTCCTGCAGGGACAGTGAACCTGCAGTCCCAAAACATTACACGTATTAAAACTTGAGATGGTTGAAAAATAAAGGTTCATGTGCAATTACATTTTAATACCTATATTTGATCATAATTCTGCACCTCTGGTTTATAGAAACAACAATAAAACTGTCCATAAATGTTTTGTTCACTTCAGTTTGGCAGAAGTCTTAAACAGCCCAAATCTGAAGTGAGCCCTGTGTAGATAACATTTATAGATATGTATTTTCTCACAAGGTTTTGTAGAACTCAAAAGTCACTGCAAGTAATAGAAATGTCTACTTTTACACAATAACAACTTTGAGTACAGTTCATGTTGAGGACACCGTTCATTAAACACTGTGGAGATGTACCCAGGAAGAGTGAGGTCAGCACACATCGAGGCAAAAACAAAGCTGAATAACTCCAGCTCCAGTTGACCATCAGCAGGCTGGACTTGCTTCACACCAGCCAGAACAAAACAAACCAATAGATTCAAAACATTACCCAAATGTGTCCTGCCATTGTACAACCTTTTTTCTCCATGTTTCATAAGGACTGCTCTTTTCTCACCACTATATTCTATTATTCATTGATGGGTTACTCACTGTCAGAATGGGAAATTGGAGATTGCTATCACCCAATGTTCTGCTAAATTCAAGCTGCTACCGGGTTGATCAGCATTTGAAGGAGAGGTCCAGACATGTGGCTGTGGACAGAGACACTACTTTCCCACCCTGCTGAGTTGAACCTGGGGCTACACTTGATTATGTTTGTGCCAAGTTTGTTTTGTTTACATGTGTCAATGTCCACAATATCATCCGGTTCTACTTTATGTACATGTTCTTCTTTGCTCAACACTAACACATACCATAACAGTAAAAATAACTCGCAGAGCATAGATCACAAAGAGAGCACTGCATGAGATCTGAAGAAGCCCCGTAGCTGCCGAGGAATCTGAAGCTGCTTGTGTGCACAAAACTTAGCAGGCTTCAACCTGACAGTGCTCGAGGTAAAAAGCACAAATGCAGTGGTTTTAGTAAATAGGTACTCAATTCAGTTGTCTGTCAGCTTTGTATGTGAACCTCTGATGCACAGTATCTATTAATACCCCCGATGAGTTATTGAATACATAATTTGATGTAATATAGGTACAAATAATGTGCAGCTCAATATGCAGTAACTGCCACAATCCTACTAACATGTCAACGTGATGGTAATATAATAAACTACCAGTTAATCCACCAGAACCCTTTAATTACCGTAACCTGCAATTATTGCTTTTAGGGGTTGTATCATAACTGATGGTTTATTTATAATGACACTGTTTAATATATAGTTTGAGTTAGATTTCCAGTCCTACAAGATTGCACAAACATATCACATTTACTGTCCTAAAATCAGTACTGTCAGTTCATGTTATTTTCATCAATTTGACAAGTTGATAAACCATCTTGGAGTTCTGACATCAGCTGCTACATGTAAGAATTATTTAATTAGCAATAATGTTTTTAGCTTAGATGACTGATAATAGTTTACAGGTTATAAGACCCCTATAAAGCCTTTTTCTTCTCAGTTTCATCATCAGAAGTGCTTTTTCACAACTGGATTTATTAATGGCTTCGCCACCAGATTGTGCCCAGTCTTATTGAGCATGGAGAAATTGTAGAGGCCATCGCCCCCTCTGCACGAGCTCATCATGGTTGATGTCACAAACACTTTGCTTCACAAGGGCCTTATTCCAGTGTATCACTAATGCACAATAACACTGTACATACATGATATTTCTGTGTACACAGAAATGGGAGCGCCAGGCTGCAACAGCAATTTCAGTAATATTGTAGGTTTCAAAAAAATGTAAGAAGAAATCTACAGAATATTTGAGACTATTCAGGGATCTGCTACTGATGTACTTATTGTTTCAATATGGCCGCCCATAAATGTTAAAACCCCCTTATTGAAAGGGATAACCATGGTTCAGATAACCATTTTAACTGAACCATGTGGTTCAGTTAAAATGCGGGACATTATAAAAAAAAAAAATGGTATAGTAAACAGAATGTTTTAAATATCGGAGTGGATTCCTTTTTATACTGTATACACTGGAATAAGGCCTTTAAAAAAACAAAAGCTACAGCTTCAAAAGAAAATGCAGTACCAAAGATGCACCTGCCATGATAAAGCCACTTAACTGGAAAAAACACAACTTCATCTCAGATGTTTTAAATCGAACTTGTTATTATAATTGCTGTGTCTACATTTTACATTTCAGTAAGACCCAAATGACCTCACGTTGCTTTAGTTAGTTGCATTGAAGTGTTGGTCAATAAGAGGAAAAATTGGTCCTTCAGACGCCGTTTTGATCTTTTATAAGAATAACTAAGCTTGTGGAGAGCATGTGTTTGTATGGTACAATATTTAGAAAATGTGAGATGAGTTCCTTATATTTGTATAGAACTGTTTGACATTAAAACTCAGTCATGTAAAGTCACTGCTGTGGTCTTTGGGAGGGGAGGGCAAGGAAAACAACTCGTTTTTATAATCCATCGCAAAAAAGTCCTTTACTTGCACTGTGAAGTGTTCAAACTGACCTGCATTGTTAGAAATGCATTGGGACACTCGTTGCTTTCAGGGTTCATACACTTTTTCACCAATGATTTTCAATAACTTTTCCATGACTTCTCAATGACCTTTACCTAATTTTCCATGACCAAAAAAAAATGACCACTGAAAATGTTTTATTTTAACATGGAACAGGAAAATAAGGTCTGCATATGAAACATGTTGTGCCTACCTAAAACAAATCAAATAGTAGGCTTACTAGCTTCTACACGCTAAAGCAACTGTAGTCAGGGAGGCAAAGTCATCAGGTATGAAAAAGGTGACAAGGACCCGACCCCTGACCCCACGGGATATCGGCTTTAAAATGAGGAATAACAGGATGTTAGCAGTCAGAACAACTAAAGCAGCAGGTAATAATAACAGAAACGACAAAGAGTCACATCTAATAGAAATATATAAAAGCATTTATTTTAAATGTGTAGCAGTCAGTTTATAATTCTGGCAGCACTGTTGAGCATTTTGAAAATGTATTTTCATGCCTCTGTTCAAGGCTTAGTCTTTCTATCTGTATAGCCACTGGTGTAAAGTAACTACGTTCATAAACTCAACAAATACTATACGTGGGTACAATTTTGAGATACTGGTACTTTAAGTATTTCAATGTTTTGCTACTGTGTACTTCTACTGCATTACAGTTCAGAGGTACATGGTGTACTTCTACTGCACTACAGTTCAGAGGTACATGGTGTACTTTTCCTCCACTACATGTATTTAATACCTTCAGTTACTTTACAGATGTGGATGAATGATGTGAAATATAATCAAGTGTTGAATCAGACTTTAGTTCCACCTGGAGTAAATTCATAAGCTACCCTGCACTATACAAAGTCATTCAAACTAGCTGCACCTTTACCAGCTTTGAGAACACTTTCATGATCAATCATTATAAAACATATATTATTCTGAAATGGACCAATCTGCACAATGACTACTTTTACTGTCGCTACTTTCACTATATTTTGATAATACTTTTCTACTTTTACTTGAGGAACATTTTGAATGCAGGACTTTTACTGTAACAGAGTATTCCTACACTCTGAGTACTTCTACTTTTACTCAAGTACAAGATCTGAGTACTTCTACTTTTACTCAAGTACAAGATCTGAGTACTTCTACTTTTACTCAAGTACAAGACCTGAGTACTTCTACTTTTACTCAAGTACAAGACCCGAGTACTTCTACTTTTATTAAGTACAAGATCTGAGTACTTTTACTCTAGTAAATATCTATACTTATACCACCTGTTTATAGCCTATGAAAACTAGAAAACGAAGGCTAAAGCTAACGTTTGCAGATAGTGACAATGCTAGCTAGCTCAACGATTCCTTAAATAATATTGCGACAGAAACACTTTTCAGTTCACATCACGCTCTGCCGCTCCGACAGGGAGCTCTGCTCTGTGAACACCTGAACGGCCCCCCGTTCTAACAGCTGTTCACCAGCGGTGCAGTCTGTGCCACAGACTCCGCAGTTAACGAACGCACCGTAGATAATGTAGCTGACCCTCATCCCGGAGGAGCAGAGTTCAGCCGGCCCGACAGGCAGGAAGACTCGAGCACACAGCTCGCGCTTAATATATTATATATACATAACAGCTCGCGACAGCAGATTATTTCGGCGATTAGATCAAATGTAAATTATATTTGACGCAACTTTAGTTACATTTCCATGACTTTGGGAGAAATATTGTTTTCCATAACTTTTCCAGGGCCTGGAATTTGCATTTCCATGACTTTTCCAGGTTTTCAATGACCGTACGAAACCTGTACTTTGCTTGTGTAACTAGGTCAGAGTCAGACAGAAACGAGATGTACCATTGTGAGTGCCAGATTGAAACCACTCTTAACCAGCACTGTGCCAGACCATTTTTGGAGTGCACCCATTGTTAGTTTAGACCTGAGCCAGTTCCAAGCAGCAGGGTTACTGAATTAACCAGATCAAAGGGTAAACAGACCGTTGACAAAATGCTGCCAAATCATCCTTAATTTTCCTTTGGAAACATTTGGCTGAAGTAAAAAAAGGTATTGCACCAATTGAATTTGTCTAAGTCAATCTGGTTACTTTTCCAATGCAGTTTATATCACCTTGAACAGCATTATGATCCTGTATTACACACGTGATTTTCACTAAACCAAAAATATACAATTTCTTCCCACCACATAAAAATACAAATCAGACAAGGAGCACCATTTTCTCACATTTATTTTAACACAAAATGGCATAGAGAGCCGATTTAGTTCAAATGTCTACTTCAGCTTCTTCTTGGGGCGAAGGTTGTTGGTGTGGCCACACTTCTTCTTGCGGCAGTTGACGGCACGGGGGTGCAGACGGGCATAGCACCTGTAAAACAAGCATTCAGGAGTCAACTATTAAGTAAAATCTTCTGAACCAACAGTTGATCATACAGTTCTTAAAACCACAATATTTATTTATGCTAGCAACTATAGGAATATCTTTGCCGCCACATGGCAAAACTGCATCTGGTTTTAAGACCCAAGTGTGAAAAAAGTGGCAAAACTGCTGGATTTTCCGATTCAGCAAATATTTACAATTAACCACAACAACTTGCAATCAAACTACTCATCCACCTTTTTAATTTGTGAAGTTCATCACTTAATTAAAACTGAATAAAACTGCACCCAAACCACACAGCTTTGGGTGCAGTTTAAAGTGTTTTAGTCAAACCCTATTACTTCACAGTAAATAACAGCAGCATTGAACGCCGATTGATTTATATAAATAACTACTTAGTGATTTTTTTAAAGAACCTACTTGCGGCAGATCATCTTGTCGCAGTTGTACTTCTGGGCCAGCATCCTGAGAGAAGGCTCGATGATGCCTCCACGCAGACGCAGAACCAGATGCAGAGTGGATTCTGGGGGATAGTTCAAACAAATTGATGTCAAGCTGAAGTTGTCACATCCAAAGACAGCACAACAGAAAATCCACTCCACTTTAGCATTTCACAAACAATCCTTTTGCAGTTTATACTTTTAAAATAATAAAACATGGATTTACACAAAGCAGCCGTTACCTTTCTGAATGTTGTAGTCAGAGAGCGTACGTCCATCCTCAAGCTGTTTGCCAGCGAAGATCAGACGCTGCTGATCTGGGGGAATTCCTGAAAACACAATAACACTTAATAACTAATTTACCATGATCAACCATTTTATTTTAGTACTGGAGGCAAAGTGCCAAATGGTTTAAAATACGGTTAGCTGTACTAAAATGGTTTACTTTAATGTCTCAATAATAACACACTTGTTCCTGTGTTTAAATTACAATATTGTTCTTTGAACTAAATTAATTAATTAACAGTTTGACTAATGGTGCAGGGATTTAATTTGCCATTATACCAAGTCTACTGGCTTGATCCAAAGCAGATTGTAACAGTATAACAGAGCATTGATCTTCCACATATACTAAACAGTAAACCGACAGTTAAGAAATGTCTAAAGCCATATTTGTATACGTTGATAGCCAACAAGCTGTCAAGACCACCCTCAAGTTACGACTCAAATGTGATGCCTCACCTTCCTTGTCCTGGATCTTTGCCTTGACATTTTCGATAGTATCGCTGGGCTCAACCTCGAGGGTGATGGTCTTCCCCGTCAACGTCTTCACGAAGATCTGCATGTTTGCAGGCTGAAAGAAAAACTGAAGTTAGCTTACAGTTTAGAGACGCTCACTCAGCTAACCAAACAATAACTGAGAGCATCTTTCAAGTTCACGACACAGAGACATACACTTTCGTTAAAACCGAAATGTTAAGCGTTCCATCGTTTTACAACCTTAATGTGACAAGTTGTTCGGCTATTGGTTAGCAGCTATCGATGTGTTAGCTAATGTTAGCATCAGAGTGAAGTCGGTGCGGGGCCTCGCCACATGCGTACCACAAGCGTGGCGCTCAGTCACTATTTTCTCTATGTTCTGACTTCTAACAGAGGCCGAAATACTTTAAAGACATTAACGGTCGATATGGGACCACCACATACTGTTTTAATCGCATTCAACAACTTCACGTTCAATACAATTCGATGAATATGTACTAGACAAAATGTGTACCCCACCCGGCCGTTAGCTGAGCCTCAACGAAAAGAGAGCGGAAAAGGCTCAGGCTGCAATACGTCACTTCCTATTTCTGGTTTCCTTGGGAATAAAAGCCTACGAGCGATTATTTTTAAATTAAATTAAATTAAGAAAAAAATACATTCAGACTTAAAAGAAAATAACAAAAAATGAATATTACTTGTTATCTAGTCACTATTGCAAACATATATAGGCCCTAATAATGAAATCCGTTGTAAATTATAACTAAAAGGTTACGACAATTATTGAAGTGACCACACACTTCAGCATATTCAGTACATTTTTTATTAATATTAAGATTATTACACAATTGTTTTTGTTCTTATTTTTTTTTTATAAATGTTATATTACTTTTAAATTGTTATATATCCATGCCAGAATTATTTTTCACAAAATCGAGTGCGGCAGCGAGCAGTGTGACTCATGCTAAGAGCTGTCACAGCGTTTACAGTGCGCATTTGTGGCTAATTAAACAACAGATAATAGGCTAATGGGTTTTGTGTTTGAGCACCTACGATTATATTCCTCTTCTTTCTGAAAGGGGGTTCACTGAAATACCCCACAGCAGAAGACCTATCCTTCAGTGACAGGTCTGACCCTGGTCTGGACGGCTTCACCTGACTGACACCTGCTGTTGTAAAGTAGAGCAACATTGTGAACATGCACGATGCATTTCGTGAATTTATAGTATGTCCAGCATAGACAGTGTATCATTTCATTACATTTTATATAAGATTACATTTAATTTGCAGGGTTTTCTAAAAAATAAATGTCCATATTTAATTTGCAGGGTTTTCTAAAAAATAAATGTCATAGGCTATATAACGTGCATGTTAATAAGTATTTATTTGAATGTGGTGTGATATATATCATATATGCATATAATGTGTTTTTAAATGGCAACACTTAAAACACTTCCAATAAAATTGCATTGCTCACTCATTTGCTAAATGAATCATACAAGTTGATATTGTAAGTTTATCTAAGGTAATGCTGAATTATACATATAACTGTGTAGTTACACACTTAGATCCTCAATTACAACCAGAAAAATGTATTAATTTCTGGCAAGATTATTCCTCGAGTGAGAGCATTTGTTTGTGTTAACCTGGATAAAATGTTACAATTGAATAAATGTGTGTCCAGTCCACTTATTGCATTTGGCTATAGGTAACTGGACACCTGACAGCAGCAGCAACAGTATCAGCATCATCATGTTCCATAGCACAGAGGTTTCCATGGTGAGGCATTGTAGCATTTTTCACCTGCTGCAGAAGAAGATGGCTAGTACAGTAATGTAATGTGGCAGTGGTGGTATCGAATATGTCTGCCGTGGTGAAAACACTGATCCAAGGCCGTCCTGTGGGCAAAGACTTCTTCCTGTCTTCCAATATCCCATTTCTGGACAGGGACCGCCCGGATGCATTCTCAACACGTTTTCAGGAGGAATACAGGCCTTTTACTTCCAAGAAAGCAGAACCTTTTAGTCCACCTACAGCAGCCCAGGTGGACCACAAAGACTTGAGACACATCAAGGAGTACCGGACAGACGCAAAGGAGTCCTACCATGCTCACAAAATGCCACAAATCACCCGCATCCCAGCCTGGACCATGCTACAGACTAACTTCAAGATGCAAACAGACCCTGGGGAGGAGGCTTTCCTCACCACACAGTCCCAGCAATTCTGCCGCCAGCCTTTCCAGCCCCCTCCCTCTCCCATCCGACAGATAGAAACCCCCAAGGCGATCCAGCATGCAGAAAAGCTGCCAGAAAGCACCAACCAAGCCTCCTACACACCACACAATTGTTGTCCTGTTTTAAAAGCCTCAGCCAAACATCTAGGTAAGTGACAACATTCGTTATTTATTTTTCGATTTTCTGAATACAAAGTTAAATACATATTTGAGTATGGATTCAGTGTCAAGCCATATTTGATTGACATGAACATGAATAAAAACCCAGTTAGAAATGAACTGGCAACTAGTGTGTTGACACTACAAAATAACAGTGAGAATAGCTGTGTGAGTGTTTACCTATGAATTCCGAAGAAAGAATGCAATAATTAACTTTTTTCTCTGTAGCAGAGGGCTTTCCCACGATCAAAGGGGACAGGCGCCATCAAAGTTTGCTCTCCCATTACAACAACAGCTTCCTGGGAGCCTGGAGCAGAGCAGCTGTGCCTGTGGAAAAGGTAACAACAGCAGTGTTGGACATGAGCTATCAAAGGAAACACTGCATGGCTTGAATGAAATGACTCATACGATGGTTTTAAAAGTAAAAAAGAAAATGTATTACATACATTACCACATTTTATTGGAAACAACTTTGGCACTGAGTCTTCAAACTGTACCAAAAGTACGGTGGCCCTGAAGTGCAAGACACCACAGCATTTCAGAAAACACAACAGCATTTCACAAAACGCCACAGTATTTCAGAAAACGCCGCAGCATTTCACAAAACGCCGCAGCATTTCACAAAACACCGCAGCATTTCAGAAAACACCACAGCATTGGACGGAAAGGGTATTCCTTAGGGAGAACACTTCTTGTTTGTGAATGGACAGAGCTAGCCAGAGAAGCACTGCTGTGATTGGTTGTTTTTGCTGCCAGTCAAGAAATGACGCTTCGTGATTGGCCTAACACATCAGTTGTTAGCTGTTAGCACACACTCAGAGCTCACAGGTCCTCATATCTGTTCAGAAACTGGACAAAAGTTAAACATATACAAAACACAGACTGTCTATGTCATGGCGAATACAGTCGCTGCTTTATTTATGTCTGTATGACGTTGTTGTGAGTGTGGACGGATCAGCTACAGGTTAGTTTAGCCTGATCGATCCGATTCCGATAGGATTTACATGGAGATACGGCCCGCCCCCTTTCCAGCGTCTTGTTTGAATGACAGGAGTAAACACATAATTAATGCTTTATTAATTCATGGTTTTTAAGGGGCTTATCTCCATGTAAATACTATGGTAGACCACCCAATATTCGCATTACTCTAATCGCTCGAGTTTCACCGCGGCTGTCAGCTGTGTTTGCTCCTGTCATTCAAACAAGAGGCGCTGGTGTATCTCCATGTACATTCTATGGGAGATAGCAACTACAACAAAATGAACATATTTGACCGTGATTTAATTGTAATACACGTTTCAAAGTGGTACCGAAGTAACTACTGATAACGGTTAGTACAAACCATGAATTAACGCTTTAACAAGTCTGCAGACAAGACGGCAGGCGAAAAGCTTTTAAAATGCGTGTTTTCTGAATGGAATCGGATCCATCAGGCTAAACTAACCTGTAGCTGCTCCGTCCACACTCACAACAACGTCATACAGACATAAATAAAGCAGTGACTGTATTCGCCATGACATAGACAGTCTGTGGTTTGTACATGTTTAACTTTTGTCCAGTTTCTGAACAGATATGAGGAGCTGTGAGCTCTGAGTGTGTGCAAACGGCTGATGTGTTGGGACATATTTCGCTGGCTGGCTCTGTCCAATCACAAACAAGAAGTGTTCTCCCTAAAGGAATACCCTTTCCGTCCAATGTGAAATGCTGTGGTGTTTTCTGAAATGCTGTTGTGTTTTCTGAAATGCTGTGGTGTTTTCTGAAATGCTGTTGTGTTTTCTGAAATGCTATGGCGTTTTGTGAAATGCTGTGGCGTTTTCTGAAATGCTGTGGCGTTTTCTGAAATGCTGTGGCGTTTTCTGAAATGCTGTGGTGTTTTCTGAAATACTGCGGCGTTTTGTGAAATGCTGTAGTGTTTTGTGAAATGCTGTAGCGTTTTGTGAAATGCTGTGGTGTTTTCTGAAATGCTGTGGTGTCTTGCACTTCAGGGCCACCGTACAAGTCTTCTTTTACTCGCATTCAACTCACATTTAGATATTTTCTTCAACTATCTTTTACATTTAAATTCCCTCATAATATCCATTTTAGGGGAAAGTTTTGAACTTTTTACACCACTAAAACATAGTCACTATAGTTACTTTAAAGATTAGGATTTTTACATTCAAAACACATAATCAACATATAAAATATCAACTATTTTCACAGGTTCAGTTACACAGCAGCAGCTAACACAGCTCAACATATCTACATCCGTAACGATGCAGATCCCTCTGTGTTATACTGGTTTAGGCACAGGAGTAGTGTTAAATGTTTTATTATTCTGTTTTTTAAATATAACTAGTCATCTTTAACTACTCAGCAGTTCCAGGGAAGCTGACTTAGGTTAAACAACAGACTGAATAAAAAGGGTAAAACTAGAATGCAGCACAAATATGTGCATGCTAAGTGAAGACACTATGACCTGAAGTACCAGCAATGTCTTTGAGTATACAACAGTGCCAGCAGTATGGACCTATTTATGAAGCTATCCGTGAAATGGGTGTTATAAGCACAAAACTGTGACAACTTTTACAATGTTTTTCCTCAGCACTCCGGAGTGGCTATGGGTGACCCTGTGAACATCGTAGAGAGAGAGACGACCCACGCTGCGTCATTCAGCCGACCCACTGGCTGCAGGTCTGCAGCCTTTTTGCTTCCCTGGACAAACTCCCACCATGGGACCCAGTTAACATTCTAAACACACAGATGTCAAACTCAGGACACCATTGCTGTATAGGGCCTTTTGTCATCCTTCAGATCTTATTTCAGACCTTTATTGCTCTCAGTGCATCATTTGACTTTTGGTGAAAACATTGACATTTCATTTACTCAAAGTCCTCAAAAATCTGAAATATAAAAAAAAAAATATAATAAAATATTACATTTTAGAAATAATATTGCCAATCTTAGAAACTCAGATTATCGTGTGTTGAGTTTCTTCTAACACAAATATAATAGCATATGAAAGCAATTTCTTTGATTTTCATTCAGTCCACCTGTGCTGACGACGGAGCGTTTGAAGCTCAGCCTTGGAAGTCTCACTCCGATATGGTCGTCCACAACCAGAGAAGCCTTCCCTCACTACAAGATTGGTGAGATTTAATATCCAGACAGGTTTTTGCCCCCGGGTTTTCACTGTTTCTATCTGGCAATTGAGATCTATTACCTATTTTACCACAGTGAAGATCCCTTTAGCCCATTAAATAATTATTTTGAGCTTTTAAATGTTACTTGTGGGAGGCGTGTGGCGCAGTGGGTTAATGCGCTGATCTTCGAATCAGAGGATAGCAAGTTCGAGTCCCACTGCAGTCAGCATGTCGTTGTGTCCCTGGGCAAGACACTTTACCCAAATTGCTCCTGTGGGGATTGCCCACAGTATTGAGTGTGTAAGTCCCTTGGATAAAAGCGTCTAACAAAAGTTTGATCTCAACTAGAAAATGGTAAAACAGCTGGTTTTTTTTCAGCAATTGTTTAGCACATTACATTCATGAGATACATTTTTATATCCAGGGTATCATCAGAATTAACTTTAGGTAACTCAGAAGATGTGTGTGTGCACAGTGCATATTTCTAACCAATACATACACTGCTTACATTTTTACGATTTGCAAATGTGTTTTACCTAGAAGATCCAGTTGTTGTGACAAAGAGGAACGAAAATTACAGTTCCTTGCCCAAAGGGGAGACCGATACCCGTCACGACAAAGAGAGGATGTCTGTCACGACCAACAGAACCTCTTTCTATGATGTGAGATAACAGATGTTCTACATCCTTATTTGTTTTTGTATTTATACTCATTGGTACATAATTGCATTAATCATAAAGATAAAACAATTTTTTCACTTTAGGTAGATCTTGACTTTTGTATTCCTATTTCTTTAGACTTTGAAGTAGATTTCATGCAGTTTGTTAAGTTTAAAGTGTTATGCAGTGATGCTATTGTGCCATATTGTATAATGCTGGCTGTTCCCCTGTAGCTGAGCCTAACAGCGCTTCCAGTTCATGTACCCGGAACTGACCTGATGACCAAGAGCCACGTACAGTTCGGCCCATCCCGTCTGTCGAGCATGTGCTACTCGACCACGGCCAAAGAAAACTTCAGCAAACAGGATGGAGAGCGGGCCAGACCAGCCATCCCGCTGCCCAGCAACATACTGAGTGGCGCAGGTGATTAATCAGTCGCATTTGTGTGTTTGAAAGGGGGTAAATGAAGATATTAAATGAGTTTAATCTGTTTTGCAGAACGTGACTTGAACCCCAGCACCACCAAGTGTGATTACCTCCCTGTGAAGGCCAGCAGACGGACACCTTTTCCGTCACAGCGGAGGGTGAGAGGTCACAAACTTAAATCAAAAATTTTACCACTCACCTGTGTAATTGTATTGACAGAATCAGCAGTGTAGTATATCCATAATATTTGTTTTTAGTTGTAGTAACTGTCATAGCAAATAATAATGTTGGAATAGTTAAAATTGTAAAAAGTGTGTTAGCTAAATAAGTACCTCCTGCAGCAGTTTATTTAATAAATAGTTTGCACATTTTGACTGCTAATGCTCTTGAGAAATGGGATGTAATGCATCCCAGTCTCATGTGATTCTTTTTTTTCCTGCATAACTCATGATTTGTGGAACCTACTTGAGCAGGTCTCCCTTGAAAAAGAGATCAATTATCTCAATGGGATACACCTGGATAAATAAAGGTTTGAAATGAAATAATGTTATTATTGTGTCTGCTTTTCTTTCTGATAATCTTAGAGCCACCTCAGGTTCCCGCTGGCTCATCAGTACTTTCCGAACCATCCACAGTGAAGAGTACACTGCCAAACCGTCAATCTTCCAGCGTCCCGGCCTCAGCCAGTTAACCACCAATTTTGTCATACAGTAACTGAGAAACACGCCTTGGTGCGCTTGTGCTCTTCTGTACTTTTTTGTTGATTAATAATCATATTAGTTAACTCAAAATCACACTGTTCAAATGGGCATGTAATCTGCTGCACAGACAATAAAACATTAACAAATACTACACTGAAGGTCAGGCAAAATGTAATACTAAAAAGACCAGATTGAGCTTGATGAAAGCTGCAAATTGTAACACAAATATATTTTTCTCTTATCATCAACCTGAGCAAAGAAGTAATTACATTTAGCTTCTTTGTTTGACTAATTGTAGTGCCTCCAGACATCCAAAGTCAACTAACTATTCTATTGGGGAAAAAGGATAGGGATATGTAAATAAGCTACTGTCATGTTTCTTATATTTCCAAGATATATTTGAAACAACCTTAAAAAGAGGTGTGATATTACATTTGTGCGTAAAACTTAAACACTGATTCTGTGAATCACAGCTCATCAGAACGTGAAACTCCCTCCACTCTGTCATTATCCCTAATATAAGTGTTGTGTTTTTTCAATGTTTGAGCTAGAAAAAGATAACTCTTCACCCAGAACAGTACAGGTTGCATCAGAGTGTGAAATGTTGAAGCAGTGTGCAAGTGCAGCTTTAGCAAGTTAGATGGCTAAAACATTAACCAAAGCCTTGCCTGTCATATTTAGGCCATGGAGAGGTGACTGTCCTACTTCTACTCTGTTTTCACTGTCAACACTAACCTCTAAAAAGAAGGTTAGCTTCTGTGTCGTAGAAAGATTCGTATCCCCTCCTTCAAGGATGATGGACCACACAACTTTCTGAAAACAATCTGTGTTGTAGCAATAACACAGCCTTGACCCAAAGATGCAGGCCCTGCTGATAAAAAAAAGTTGGCAGGCAAGCAGGTGTAAATAAACTGAATCTGGAGTTCATCAACCAGGTGAAAAGGCAGCATTCTCGGGTAGGAGCTTAAATATGAGCTGGCAAAAAGCTTAGGTCCAAGAGGTACAGCTGCAACAACATGGTTACAACATGGTTAAGTATCCAGAATCGACCAGATACGTCTTGTTTGATTTGCCTCTCAGTTGTGCCAAGAGCCATGCCAAGTTAAGATAGATTTTCAGCCAGATATGTTAATTTAAGACCATGGAGTTTATGACACTTTCATATTAATTGACTGAATTAATGTAGTTTACTTGTGCACCTGGTCAATTTAAATCAAATATTTTTCAATGTGTAAGCATGAAAGTTAGGCAAAAGGACATGCTTCTGGATCATACCTATGCCTTACTGGTTTGAACGATACTATAAACGTTTGACCAAGATACATGCAAAGGTCTCAACAGAAATCTTAACAATATGAGCACAGTATAATGTTATTTTGATACAATATCATAAGTTAAGGTCACAAAGTATATGTCTTACTGCATTGCCAGTGATTTGATGTATTCACCATATGGAGTTTTATTATTAAGCTAATTGTTGCTTTCGAGTACTGGGCACGTGGTTTAAATAAAACAAAAACAAAACTGAGGTGATTCAGACTTGTTCTCAGATGTGTAAGCTTTTTTTTGGTTCTAGGCCTACTACTGTTTTTGAAAAATTCAAGTTATTATAATTTGTATTTATGATAGTTATTTATTTCATCACATACGTGTATGATCTGTACTTTATCAACAGTTTGCATATTGACCATAGGATTGACCATATACATAATGACAAATTCATTATAATAAATTACCAGTGATTAAAACGTTTTAAACTCTAAAAAACAAGCTGCCTTCAAAATAAAATTATACGTCAAAAACAGATGGAGAAAATCTTTTGCGTATTTATATCACTACTTTCTATTACATGATTCCTATATGCCACATTCATTCAATATTCTGCTCATATACGCATATACGCATATACCCAAAAGGACAAAGGGTGAAATCAGGTGAATTAAGGTGGACATGCTTTTAATTTGAAGGGTCTAACCGGAACCTCACGTTGTGATGCTGAGTTAGTTTACGTGCAGTCAGTCCACGCTGCTCTCCTCCTCCTCCTGCTGTCGTTATAAAGGCTGGGCTTTCTCTGAAGTTAAACCTCCAGTCGGAGTGAGCACACGTTTTGTTTTTTCTACCGTAAACCTCGGCTTAAAGAGGACCTCTACGTTGCTCCAGACCTGTCGGTGAGTTTTTAAAAATAATATAGACGTCAACTCAACGTGCACCACTCTATCTATAAAACGTAGTCCCGGATCTGAATCTTGATTGGCTGAAACTCGTCCTCAGTCGTCACTGACGAAAATATGAATGTAATTAGACTCACAGAATCATATTGATATAACTCAGAATATATATTAATGTTTTTTTAAATGTCATGTCAAAATGGCATGCGACTTATTTGATTACGAATCGTGACTCATAATGGTTTTATTTGTGTATTAGGTCAATGTAAAAGATAATTTTCATTTAAAGAGGCTAGTATACTGTCATTATTAAGTAACCTCTTTCTGCAGTATTTTTTTTTAACCACAGAACAATAAATACAGTGTTTTAATTTGTTCTACATTTTGTAAAAACAACAAACAGATTACCCAGCAGTAGCTATGGGCTGACCCTGGCATGTCTGGGACCCTTAACAGAATCACCCAACCCCACCCTAAAAATAAGATCCCTGTGATAAATAACAAAAATGTACAATATGTTCTGTTTCTTTCCCAATTATTTGTAAAAAGCTAATAAAGGATTTCATATATAGGCCTATTATTTGCTTGTCCTTGGTCCCCCTTTAACTATTTGCAGTGTGTTTTTAACAGCAATGGAAACCAATTCCCAATACACACATCTCTACTATACAGTACACAATGGGTATTTCTTACAGCTCCCAACCTTATCAAACTCTTTATTGTCTCCACTCCAGAAATGACGTTGAACAACATAAAGTTTTTCAAGCTGGAGCTGGATGGTCCTGCTGATGCAGCGTTCACCGGAGGGGAGCTGGTGTCCGGCCAGGTGTTCCTAGAGCTCCGCAGGGACACCAGGGTGCACTCCATGAAGGTGCAGGGTCGAGGGGTGGCCATAGCACACTGGCTGGAGAACCGTGGCATGAACTCAGTCTATAATGACTACACCTCCAAGATCACATACTTCAGAAAGAGACAGCATCTGATTCGAGGTCAGTGGTAAAGGCTGCAGATATATGGTTGATAGTACTCTTCGTGTTTATTTATATTCACTGTGTTTATTTATCAAGATAACCACCAGTAAAACCCAGCTGATTTGCTGTAACTGGCGTGTTTGTTAAACAGGTAACCTAATAAACTTGCCATATACTGTTTTTAATTGTGTCCTTAATTTCTATATTTTGAGTTTGGTTTTTTGTAATTTAGCAAAAAGCAAAGCAATTTATTAGAGCTAGTTCAGTGAAGAAAGCCAAACCAAAAGCTGTGCGAAGGTGACTAAATAAACAATTGAGTAGATCATCCCCTATTGTATCAGTATCATATTCTTGTAAGATATCATCCATCTTTTTAAAGCTTTGCTGTGATATACATAGTAACAGAACATCAGCATGTATGGCAGCTGGTGGATGTAAAAGTTCTCTTTCTAAATTGAATAATGTGCATAAAAAATGCCGATATGCTCTTTCATGTGCCAGCTGGTGGCCACTGTATCTTGTAGTTGCTGCAGTTTGCAAAATCAAGCCACCTGGGCCAAATTTCTTGCATGGAAACCTGGGAAAAGACAGGCAGAGAATATAGGCCATAGAAGGTGAGTAAATAAACTGTAGACAGTGGTTACTGATTTATCAGATGCTCTGTAAACAGTATCCCTGGTTGTCTTCAGACGAGGCGCATCCAGTGCTGGAATTGGGCCGGTACTCACCGGTACGCAGTACCGGCACTTCTGGTTCTGACCCATGGAAAACCGGCACTTCTTGCTCAGTACCGGCATGCTGGCGGTACTCCGGTACTCATGCACCGTGCCAGTACTCAACACTCTCCCGCCGTTCTTATTATACATCCATATATATATATATACAGCCGCCCGGTACTCAGTAGATGCGTCATGAGGTGCCGAACGGACATTCTCATCGCTCTAACCGCTGGAGTTTCACAGCGGCTGTCAGCTGTTTACTCCTGTCATTCAAACAGAACGTGCTGGAGAGGGGGCGGGGCTTATCTTCTCCATGTAAATACTGTGGTGGAAACGACTATGTCAAAATTAACCTATTTGACCGTGATTTAATAGTAATACACGTTTCAAAATAATAATAATAATAATAATAATAATGCCGAAGTAACAACATACTGAAAACTGTTAGTAAAACCATGTTTTAATGCTTTACAATTTACATACCTAGATGCACGTGTGTTGTGTTTATGCAGTGCAACTCCCACCCAGTGGGTGGCTATGTAGAGTGATAGAACAGAGCAGGCACGCCCCCGAGAGAAGGAAAGCAAGTCACGTCACAAATTAGCATTTCTAAAATGTTAGCGTGGATTAATAAAAGTGCAAAAAGACAGCGGTTGTTGCCGGAAGAAACTTCAAATACAGAGAATGCTGTGCCTGTGTTGGAAATTGTGTCTGATGGGGAGCTTTCTTTGGTTGATCCTCCTGCTCCAAGTTCTAGTGCATTAGCATTAGCACTAGCTCCGCCGCCTCCTCCAGAGCCTCTAACGTTAGCTGCTGCTGGCGCAACTGCCACCACCAACACCGGGCAAAGTGATGCACCTGACTGCTGGACAACGGACCAGGTGCAATATTTTTGCAAGACCAATGCATGGCTCCTTCTTAAAGATAAGAAGCTAGGATGTCGGATATGCAGAGATGTCAAATCTTTGGGAATACACACTGGACAAGGACTGAAACTGTCAACTGAATGGGGTGAGTGTGCAGTGTCTCATTTCGGTGTTGACAAGGGCAAACAACAAGCTAGCCTGAGAAAAAAAATCAAAGAACATAAAGAATCACAAGCCCATGTAAAAGCTGCTGACATCCTTACATCTGCTTCACGTGAAACTATTCAACATCAAGTGCAGTCTATGCATACATCTGAATTAGACACCACTATCAGAGTTTTTCGAACGGCATATAAAATTGGCAAACATAGCCGGCCATTCACAGACATGCCAATTGATTTGAATGTACAGAAACTGAATGGGCTGAACGTGGGCAGGGTTTTGCACTCCAATAAAACCTGTGGCGAAATCATCGACCACATAGCTCATGAGCTGAAGAAAAAAATGGCAAAAGACATTACAGAAAACCAAAGAAAACTCTGTGTTTTGGTCGATGAATCTACCACTATTAGTGGTAAAACGGTGCTTGTTGTGTGTCTACGCTCAGCATTAGCTGATGCTGAGCCCGAAACGTTTTTTTGGGAGCTGATAGAGTTGGATGGAACAACGGCTGATGACATCACAAAGGCGTTAATGGAGTGTCTTGGAAGAGATTTTAACGAGGACTTTTTAGGTCAGTGTTTCGTTTCTTTTGCATGTGATGGGGCTTCAGTCATGCTAGGGAAGAGAACAGGCGTTGCTACCCAGTTGTGTAGTAAATTCCCAAGCCTGTTTGTGTGGCACTGCTCCAATCATCGTCTAGAGCTGGCAGTTGGGGATGTGGTCAAGGAGGTCTCAGGGCTCAATCATTTCCAGATCTTTTTTGACAAACTCTATTCCTTGTTCCATGCCTCCCCCAAAAATCAGAGGCAGTTAGCGCAGTGTGCGCAAGCAGTCGGACAGCGTCTCCTGGTGATAGGGCGTGTTTTGTCAATCCGCTGGGTGGCTTCAAGTGAAAGGAGCGTCAGAGCAGTCTGGGAAAACTACCGAGTGCTTCATGATCACTTCACAAATGCTGCAAACGACACGAGCAGGGATTCCAGAGACAGAGCAAAGTACAAGGGCCTGGATGATGTGCTCACATCTGCAACGTTTGTCAGCAATCTGGGACTGATGTTCGATGCGCTCACAGAGCTCAGCGACCTCTCTCGGCAACTCCAAAAAAGAGAGATGACACTGCCTACAGCAGATAGGCTCTTAACTCGAGAAATACGAGTTTTTGAATCCATGGTCACCATGCCTGGCCCACACATGACTACAGTTCATACAGCTCTAGCTGAGAAGTCCTTCAAGGGTGTTGCCCTGCGTGAGAATGGCAGGCTTGTACAGATTCATGCTGGTCAGTTTTTCCGCAGTATGGTAGAGAATCTGAGACACAGAATGACTTCCACAACCTCCTCTCATGTCAGCACAAGAGAAATCCCATTACATGGCCGGGAGGCCCGGGACAATCAGCTAATCCAGGACATGAAAGTTATCCATCCTGGAAGTTGGCCTGAAGAGGAGTTAGACGTACAGTATGGGGACGTAGAGGTGCTACGTTTGTGCGAAGTGCTGAAAGTGGACAGAAGAGAGACTGTTCAGGGCTTTCGCGAATACAAGGAAACCAGGGCATCCCGTACACCTGCTGCCATGGAGCCTCTACTGAAAGCAGTCCGAACCATCGCTGTCTCCACTAGTGAGTGTGAGCGGGCATTCA